CTTTATAAAAAAAGGATTTAGGAATTTGAATACAAAGTAGCACATATGATTAAGTTGTTTGTTTTTGCTTAATTGAGCTCGATGTAAAGTAAATATCTCTTATTCATTTACTATAAGAAAGCCCTGACTGATTCAGCACTTAGTAGGTCAGATTGAAAGCGGCACAATCACTTATTACCGATAAATCTTTTAACCTATTTAAAAATCGATTCGATGGAAGAAATCCATTCCTTTCTTCTTGCTCCTAGTTTGGATGTTAATGGCCGATTTTAGTTTGGGTTATTTTTCTTAATCGATATTAATAATTAATTATATTCGCTAATGATTACGTAATGAATGAAATGGTATTTATTAGTGGTAATCAAACTCCACAGAAAGGCTCTTACAGAATAGCTAGATATTCTTCCTGCAGTGAAAGATATCTTAGGAATAATTTTTATTTTCTGATAACTTGCATGCGGAACCCTTAATATTATTTAAATACTTCCTCACTAATAAAAATGCCGCGTAAGCAGCCGCATGCTCCGATCGGAGATGGTAGTGTTCACGCTCAGGATAAGACGGCATACGTACGACCTCATCAATGCCAGGAATTTCGTCAGCCTTCGGGTCTAATAATAATAGGTACTTTCTAGTCCAAGAAGGGAATGCCGTTTCGAAATAATATTTACTTTGACTTCTTCAAGAATTTAGAAGGAATTGAAGAAATAATGGAGGAAATACGAAACTAAATAAATAAGTCAGAAAACAACAATAGGAAATGACCTTGTATGTAAATAACATTAGAAATCTTGCTTTGAATAATTAATAAATTATCAGCGTACTCACTCATATTTTACTAACGCCGTCTTCAACTGACGTTTAAAGTTTCCAAAAAAACAATGTTTGTCCTTTCCAACAAGCCAATTATTGAATGATTTCCTATTTTCAAACGACAATCAGAAAGATTTTTTTAAGTAAATAATAATAAAAAAAAAGTTTGATCCTTTAATCCTACTTTACTTTATCTTTCACCAAATTTTTCAACTCCTTGGGGCATTTTCAAGAGAAAAAACCTTTTTTAAAAATGTTTTAAGTAAAGAAGTTTTAACTATTTTGTAATAATATAAAATAGAAATGAATTAATAATGTAATTATTTAAAAATAGTATCCGTTTATTGGTATACGAGGATTATTTTATTTTTAAAAAAATAATAAAAAAAAGTCTTCAGTAAGGTCAGACCGACACGAAACCAAATCTATCCCTTGATGTCTAGAAGGTGCAATGCGTCAAGTATACAAAGCATTGAAACAATGCACTTTTTGCCTAATGATGTCAAAAAAATTGTAATTATATCAGTATTTAAAATAAATACCAAGTTTAGTTTTGAATTATAATAAAAACGTCTATACGATATGTATAGAATTCCTGCAAAATATGAACCTTGCGGTTCCCCTCCAATCAGATACCAAACATTTTCTAATGGTACCAAGGACAAAAATAGTCGAGCAGATAATTTTTCATACTTTTCATAAATTATTTCCAGGTCCCAAAGGTAAGGAATATTCTGTATTCTGTAAGGAGTATTCCTTACCATTTCAATTTGTGTATTTGTTCAGGGGTGCCTATTTTCTATAACTTGATATCAACAATAATCTACAACGATGCTATCGATAGTTGACGTGTTCTTGAATTTTAATGGAGAATGGTTTAATTGAATTAGTTTAATTAAAAAATAAACATTCATTAATAATATTATTTTTTAACAGTAGATTTTAATTTAAAAACTGATTTTATTCTTAAATAATAATAAAACACTCATGCACGGCATGCATAGAGGTGTTGCAAAAGGTGAACCTTGTAGTTCACCTCAAATTAGATACCCAACAAAAAATAGCCTTGCGGATTAATTATGTCACATTTTTCAAAAATTATTCAATTGTAATATACTTAAAACATAGTTAATGGATTTCATCTGACTAAAAATTAAAAATTTCTGTTAATAACTTCAATTTGGATGGAAGAGGTATAACCTTTTTATTTTTATAATCAGATCAAGAAACATTCATTTAGTCAACGTTTCACCAATTCTTACTTCAACAGAACCGATATAATATTTTTTTTTATTCTTTTTTTTACAACTGTATTAAAAATAAAAATACATTCAGTAAATGTATTTCTAAGTTACTAAATTATTTAATAAAAATATTTGCATCCTGTCCTTACCTCCGAGGCACAGATTTAATTAATTAATATACTTAAAACATATTTAATCAGTTTCATTCAACTAATAATGAAACGTTACTTGAGCGTTAAATGAGACTTTTAACGCAAGAATGACCTAGGACGTAATGTAAAAGATGTTTACAGCACTCTATTGAGAAAGTTTTCAAACGCCATTGAGAAAGTATTTATTCTTTTCATTCTGTTTTGAATTTTAGTTATTTGCTTCGGCGCCATCGCTTAGCCTCGATAAGATTCCTCCATACTCCTCTCCCCTGACCATAACGGACACTGGAAGGACAGATCCGGACAGAGAACCTATGATGAGATAACTGCTACCGTGGAATCGGTGAAAGTTTCTCCTACGTGACATTGTTTATTCCGGGTTGGCTGAGTGGCTTTTCGCGGCTCCACCCATGGGAAATATCATCCGGCGATATGCAGCCAATGCCAATATGAAATCTCTATTTCTCATAGGAAATGGCGAATTGCAATGTCTTCGAGATACAATGCGATTTAAAGGAACGATTCGTTACAGAACGTTCTACATCTTAGGAATCACAAGGATATCATTTTAACTTTACTTTCTTCAAGAGATAGGTGATATCTACAATAATCTACAACGATCGCACATAATATCGATAGTTGACCTTTTCTTGAACTTTAATGGAGACCGGTTTAATTTAATTAGAAAAATAAACATTCATTAAATTTACAAAAAAACAATTTTAAAAATATAAAATAAAATCGAAATTTAAGAAGTTAAACTCATACCAGACTGAAACAGCTCGACGTTTCCGATTACTTCAGCACTTACTAGACAAACGTTCTAAACTTCCAATTAATTAGAAAAGACTCATATACATGACTATCATAAGGCCTATTTGGACTTAAGGAGTTGAGCTATGGGACTCCACTAAACCGTCGAATTCCTTTCGTATCCAATCCTTACAATACAAAATCCTCAATACTCCCTACTTTGTCAGAAATAAAATCATCCATAACTTCATTAATGTACCATATGTTTCAGATCTGGCCCACTCCAGATACCTATCCTTGCATAATAAACTTCAGAATCATCCCAACCATCTCGTTTCTAACCTTGCTTCCTTTTCAATTCCTAACACTTCGAGGCGTCTGAAAAGAAGATGGTCCCGTGATCTCCTAATGTAGACATATCATTAGAGTGCTACCATTGGGTAGTTACTCAACAAGTGTTTTCACGTCATTATATCCATATGTTCAAATTTACTAAATGTATTCCTTAAATACAGTTGTAAATATCATTAAAAAAAAAAGTTAAAAAATATTGAGTCATCCATAATTTAAAGTTATAATAATATAAAATTCATTTTAATAATAGATTTTAATTTGAAAACTGATTTTATTTTTAAATTATAATAAAACAACCATTTCTATCCATATACGGCATGCATAGTAGTGGTACAAAAGGTGAACCTCGTAGTTCTCCTCAAATTAGATACCCAACAAAAAATAGCCTTGCGGACTAATTATGTCACATTATTCATAAATTATGCAATTTTAATATACTTAAAACATAGTTAATGAGTTTCATCAAATTAAAAATTAAAAATTTCTGTTAATAATTTCAATTTTGATGGAAGAGGTATAATTTTTTATTTTTATAATCCGATTAAGAAACATTCATTTAGTCAACGTTTCGCCAATTCTGACTTCAACAGAACTAACATAATATTTTTTTTTTATATTGATAATATTTACAACTGTATTACAAATAAAAATACTTCCAGTAAATGTGAAAAAAAGGATATAATAACATGAAACCACTTGTTGAGAAACTACCCACTGGTAGCACTCTAAAAATGTTTTTACAAAAGGAGATCTCGAGGCCATCGTCTTTTCAGAAGCCTCAGAGGGTTGTCAGGGATCGAAGAGGAAGCAATGTTAGAAACAAGAGGATTCGGATGGTTATGAAGTTTATTATGGAAGGATAGGTTTCTGGATTTGGCCAGGTCAGAAACATAAGGAACATTAAGTTCGTTATGGATGATTTTATTTGTGACTTTTATTTTGGATTGTAAGGATTGGATACGAGAGGAATTCGATGGCTTAGTGGAGCCCCAAAGCTCAATTATAATAAAAATAAAATCACATTCAGTGCAGAGATAGTACATTCCATATCAACAGTAAAAAAAATTAATAAAAAAATATTAACCTAAAAGAGATAGTATATCAGTTTAAAGCAGATATAAAAATGCGTTGGATTATATGCAAAGCTGTTTATTTTTTCCATTATAAGTTAAATCATTAATGTTATTTACTAATGTTTGGGAGACTCTAGACTTTGTTTGGAATGTTCCAATCATATCCTAACAACAGTATTTGTCTCTTTTATTTCTTACTTATTTTCAATATTTTTTTTGTCTAATTAAAAGTCAGATTGAAAATTATCCCTTAAAATTTTAACATGTTATATATCTCCACATGATAGAAACTATTGTAAACAGGAAATTATTTTAATGTGATTGAACTCTTAGAGTCTTGTTTTCATATCTGGATAAAATGGGATGTTAAGTGTGGATACTTACAAAAGCTGTTTCCTATTCGAGCATTGTTATCACCACATGTTTATTTAAGGCGCCATCGAACCATCCTTTACAACAAACACTATAAACAACATCAACATGCAAACATGTTTTGCCAGGGTAGGGGGAGGCAGAGGTATAGGATTGCTCGTACATGTATCAGCCAGCCAGAGAGATTGTGGTTACTCTAGTGTGGACATTGATTTTTGAGTTAAGTTCTTTTGTCTTAGCTTTCGGGCATCGAACCCACCGCCATGCACAACAAGAGGAAGCTTTGCGACAAGCTCACCAGCAGTTTTCTGAGGAAGTGGTGTAAGTAGGAATTTCATTATCTATTTTTTAATATTATTATTATTATTTAACCAACAAACTCAACATTTCAAAGAACCTAAAATAAATAAACACAGTTTATTCCAAGATCAGGGAATAGGTAAGTTTATCATTATTCTGTAAAAGGGGTGTCCAACCCAAGTCACGAAGCCTGAAAGTAGATTTTTAAATGTGTTATTCTTAACTGCAATTAAGAAAAAGATATATTATTAGTTATCTTTCTGAAATGAAAGGTGGTATTTTAGACTCAACATGTTTTATATAGAAAACAATATTACTATCTTAGGAAATATATTTTATGAATGAATGAAAACATAATTCTGGGACTTAATTCCCCTAAGAATAATGACAGAGTTCAGAAATAATTCACATTAGTTTGGCACGAAGAAATCCCAAAACGGTACTAATTGCAGAAAAAAGTAATTTTTATATGGTTGCGGAAGATTGAATATGAAATAGGTGATAGGAGTTGTGTAAAGGAATTTATGGACGAGGATTAACGTATAGAGATAGGTAAGGAGTTTAAAAAGTTGATAACACGTATAACAAAGGATTTGATGAAATAAGTTATTTTATGGGAAGGGATAAATAAATCAAAAGGTTGAGATCTGGTATGAAATGTGGATAGAATAACGTAGAGTAAGAAGAATACATCTTATTCCAAACATTTTATTGTATAAATAATGGTTATTAAGTGTTTACATTATATTGTTATATTCTAAATATTAACAAGAGTAAAATATCTTTAAAGAACAAAAATACTACACAGAAATAATTAGTGTTTCCCAAATGCTAGACCAAGACTACCAAATGCGAGTCTTGAGCACTCAGTCTTGGGTTTGGTCTTGGTCTTGCGGAAGAGTCTCCCAACAGGCTTGCAGTTACCTATTATTATTATAGAGATATTGCTGTAATTTTTTAGATAGAAGAAACCTAACTAAGCCTAAATGAAAAATTAGAAGATTTAACTGCAAAAGTATATTGGTTATAACAATTCTTTACATATACTAACTAAAATTGTCAAGTATTAGTAACTATTTTACTTTAATTTTTATTCAAAATCGATTTTTTTTACCAGCTATGGTCTTGGTCTTGCACCAGTAAGGCTAGACTATAACTGGTAGACCAAGACCGATATTAGGCCACACTAGAAATAATTGTGAAGTTGGCACGGTATAGATAAGGAGAGGGTATAGTTGAGATACTCCTCAATATAGAGAACTCTTTGTGTTGGCAATAGACTTGAACCTGATCTAAAACTATGTAATATTCTTAACTCTAACCTCCACATCAACAAACCATCAGTGTGTCTATTTTTCTATAGCAAGTAAAAACATAGAAATATTTAAATAAATACATAGATATACCGTATAGTTTCAACATATGATTTCTACTTATATTATAAAAATCGCCATATAACTGAACAGGTTTTAGCTAAATTTACTTTTTCTTGGCAAATATTTAGTAACACCGCATTGGTAATGAAGTCAAATAGATAGTTTAAATTTTTTTTTTTTGTCGAATGAATGTTTATTGAAAATAATTGTCTAAATGTTGATTTATTCCCCGTTTGTATTAACAAAATTCTTTTTAATATTTCCATAATGAATAAAAATATTTTTTCATTTAATTAAACCATTCGACCAATTTTTTATATATTTATAATAACAATTTATTTTTGTTTGAGTTATATAATATTTGTTTTTTTCCTCACCGTGCTGTTAGTTGCAATTAACTTGACCATAACAAGTCACGTGCTTTATAGCTACAATAAAATTAACATCGCTGACATGCTAATGTATTTTCCTTGTCTACAATTTCAATCATCTTAAAAGCTGTTTCCAATTTAAAAGCATGATTGATGATTTTCACGATGTTTATTATATGTAATTCAGGATGTGACTCATATAACTATGTCTTAAAAAAAATAAAAATTCCATTTTTCCATAACTCTAATTGCACATAATTTAACTACCTCACTTAGTATCTCTGCTAATCTTTGAAAAAACAAATAAAAATACTAAAATAATCACCTTGTATCCGTAAACAAGTTCCTTAATGCCAAGGTCGTATGTCCATCTTCTTTTTATTCGCTTTTTTAAGTCAGTCCATGAACTGGAAGCTGCCAAGGTTCCGAAACGTTCTCTAATTCATTTTATAACAAACTTTGTTCAGGATCATATTTAATAATAATAAAAAATAAAAAAAGCATGCAATCCATTGCAATGTATTTTCAGAATGTAACGTTTCTTTTGTTAAGACACTTCTATATTTCTTTTGAATTTCCTCCATACATTTTCTTTCTATGCAGTATTGTTTCACATATCCTTTATAAATTAAATGAATAGCTTCAGTAGTACAGCTTATGTAATAATTCATTTTTTTATTATTATTAATAATTAAATTCCCAACCAACGGAAACGAAATATGGTCATTAAAAAAAATTGTTTATTATACTCCCCCCCCTTAGTTTCATTTACAATTGGTTAATACGTTTCAGTCTTGTGAACCTGTCCCAAAAAAAAAAAAGATTTTATAACAAAATATTTAAGTATCTGCCCATATCTCTTAGAAAATATAACTTTCCTTAAAAGTGTGTAATTAAAATTATGGGGAAGGTAGACATTTAAATAGTGTCAACGATTTTACGACAATAATTTGGGTTAAAAAAAAAAAGCTGATTGTCAACAGATGTCGACAGGTGTAGATTAAAATTTAAAGATAAAAAAAAAAAAAATTAACAAAATATGTAATTATATCGAAACGTTTAAACAGAATTCATTGTCATAATTGAAAATAAAATGCAATTTAAAACTTAATATATTTTTTTTAAATATTTACTATTAATTATTATTGTATAATGAGTAGTTTTTATTTCAAGTCAATTGATTAGTAAGGAAAAAAAATTGTTTTTCACATAATATTTATTTATAGTTAACAACGATCGGATTAAAAATAAAGTCATTTTCATCAAATACAAATTATATTTTTTTATTAAAAAAAAACATTTCTTTATTATAATTCTAATTCGATAAATAAAAATCATTTTAATTGGACTCTACTTAGACAAAAGACTCACCTGGAACATAGATACTCAATTAAAAAGACAAGAACTGAGTAGACGATATAACTCGCATCTTCTGGACTACAGATCTTCACTTAACTTACGAAACAAGCGACTGATCTATAAAACCGTACTGAGACCAATTTGGACATACGGAGCAGAACTTTGGGGTTCGGCAAAATAAACACACACTAATAAATTACAAACAACACAATAAAAAATTCTACGAAAAAAAATGTCAACGTACCTCAGTACATTTCAAATAACACTCTACATAACGACTTAAACAACCCAACAGTAAAATCGTACACCCACGACAAATACACTTCATTTCATTCTTCTACTCTCAATCATCCAAATCCACTTGTTCTGTCTTCCTCCCTGTTACCTGATCGTTGCAGACTAAAAAGAAAATGGCCAAGGGACCTATTCCTACCACAATAACAAAATTATGTTAATCAAGCAAACTCAGGTGCAAATGGCTTAAAATGTCTAAATAAATAAAATAATTGCACTTGAAAAGCTAATATTTATTTTAATCGTTGTATTACAAATGAAGCAGACGAAAAACGAACGCAAGGTGTAACGATACGATTAAGATTAAGACGTTTCTTTGCTTCAGTGGAGGGGAGACAAGTGGGTCGTAAGACTAGTGAAAGTAACCTGTTCAGATTATATTCGAGTTATTGGTCACATGTTATTGAATAAGTTACTGTAACCTGGTACTGACTGCATAACCGTCTATAGTAAGGCTATACGAAAAAGTAACCGACTATCCTAAAATAGCTTCAAGTTATCTTGGAATCGGGAAAAATCCTTCATTGCATAACAAAAGAACAGTTCCCATCATTATACACCTGGCTTCGGAATCTTAATAGCCCTTTTTTAGATGTAATGTTATTTAAATTTAAAACACAGCCCGTTTAATTTGAATTTAACCTTATTTTTTTCTTTTAAAGAAAAAAAAATATCCTCATTTACTAATCTCACAGTCGTAGAGTGGACGAATCGTGAGAACATCATTTTAACAGCTCAGAAGAAACTATTAAAGTACGTTTAAAAAAATATTTGTTCAGAAGTGATATTACTACATTTTGTGTGTATTTTTCGTTAATCTTTTACTGCGTTAATATCATTCCTCCTACAGATGGAGAAAGCATAATTCATTAAATATACTAAATTCACTAAATATACTTTTAAACAACCATAAGCAATGATAACGTATGAAACAAAACAATAAACTTTAAATAATAAAATATAAATATATGCTGAAAATTATTAATATGAGCAATCAAAATAAAAACCATTATAAATAAAACACCATTATAAATTTTTAAATTAATCTCAAGGTATTTAAAATATATTATACTCAATTACCAAAACCAGCTAGGGTACCAAAACGACATAACAAAAATATATTACACAGTTTAATACAATATTTTATTAAATCTTCGGGCTCACGGGAAAATAGTCCACCATTTCTTTTTTAAACAGTAACGAGCGTTTATACATTTCACAAACCACAAAAATTAGCTAACACAACTACCTGCGAAATTGTTAAACCAATCTATTTATTTTATTTCTCTTGATACTCACCGCAGCAGATAGAAAATATTAAAAACAAGGAAAAAAAACAAAAAAAACAAGCATAGTGAAATAACTATTTTTATATTTGCTTGTCTCGCAGTTTGTGAAATTTCAGATCACACCTATTAAATGCCTGGGCAAAATACAGAGGAGAACAAGGTTGGACAATTACCACCATTTTAACGTAAAAATAATTTTAAATAAAGGCTAAAAGCTACGCTCTTATTTAAAAACATTATTGATTAAAACTTATTGCATCCATTTATAGAAGAAAATGAAATAGATCAAAAACATAAAATCATTTCATTTCAACAAAAGAAACCGATAATTT